ATGACTTATACTGTCTTTTTACGCGTTGCGTTGCATCGTGCCACGTAAACATAAAACCATGTCTGCATGAATCGGAGAAATGACAAACAACAAGCACTACTCTACTCTGCTCAAAACTGGCATTTGAATCATCAGTGGCAAATTCTTTAAATATAAAAAACGTACTTACAGTCTGTGAGTCAGAACAGAAGGCATTGTAGTCTACTCTCCCAGGATCAGAAAACAGTCCTACATAAAATGCGCTGCACACATCTGAATATTTGGGGGGAATGGTGTTGTAAATACAACTTAACGTTGTAAATACAACTTAACCACTGATTTCTAGTCGTGTCCTCTTTTGGAAGACCAAACAAAATAGATTCGCTTTCACAACGAGCTAGAGTGGGCTAGAGTGAGTGGAGGCCGGAGGGCTTGAGAACAGCGCGGCCGGCGGATTTCGACGAAGGAGCGTCCGGCGGGCTTGCGGCAACCACATATGACGACCCCGGGCTGGACTCCGCTTCGTCCACGGTGAAAGCCGATCCGGCTATCCACAGCGCGAAGTTGATGTATTCCCTCAGCAACCAGCACGGATCAGCTCCAGGCATGACGAAGCGGATATCATCCTAACAAACAAAGTAGTCACGCCTTCTTTCTTTGCGTGAACATTTGGGCGGCGTTATGCAAATCTTCCCACATCGTGACGTAGACATGTGGGGGCGTGTTAGAACGAGCCGTTTTAGGTAGGCGTGGTTGACTCTTAACTTTTATAAAGAATATCTCTTTGGATTTGAGACTTTAGTCTTTGCAACTTTACAGATCTTCTTTATGCACCAAGAGCTTGTAACAATTCAAAGAGAAAGGAAAAATTGAAATCGCATCATATGACCTCTTTAAGAGGCTTGAACTGAATAACAATATTGAAAAGTGCCATCTAGTGGCCGTATTGTTATTTCTCATTATTAAATATTATTATAGCCAACAACCCCCATGTACAGCACAGCGGACAATAACCAGGACAACACAAAAGAAAATGGCATGATATAACATTATAAGTGTTTTTCAGATTTATTCTGTGTCTGAGGACACCGCTTCAGTGGTAGCTCTGGAGACTAAGTCCACTCGGCTAGAGCGCATGCGTTTGTCTGTAGCTGCGGTGAGCGATCTTTGGCCAGTGACAGAGGTTTTGTTACTCCTGATGAGTACGCGTGGGTCAGCGCTCACCACATCGCTGTTACTACCCTCGTCTTCCTCATTCTCAGTCTCCTCTTCACTCGGGCCTTCCTGAGGCTTCAGTGTCTCGGAGCTGAACTGGCTCAAAGGCTTTCCGAGGATTCCAAAGCTAAAGGCAAAGCAAAATAGATACAATCAGACACCAGAGACAAAACCGTCACATACTATGCAGCACTTATGAATAATTAAACCATTGCATGATCAAGTATTACCCAAGAGACTTCAGCTGCTCTTTAAGCTGCTCTTTGAGCTCCTCCATCACCGCCTCTGAATCACAGTCTTCAGTCGAGGGCACTTTAGGACCTCTGAAGCGCTCAAACAGGTGAGGGGCCTTTTCTTGTGGAGTAGGCAGCAGAGAGACCATCAGCGGGGAACGCTGGGTTATGATTTTGTTTAGGGGAGGAAGACGGTTTGACTTCCTGGGTTAAAGGTCAAGAGACAGAGAGTGAGGTATGAGAGAGAAGACAGAACAGTAAAAGCCTAAATCTTTACTTAAAGTTGCTTGCACACAAAAGTCGAACAATTTACATCAAATTACTCGCAACACCTCACAAAGGCAAGACAGAACCTTTTAAAATCTCTTCATTATTGTATGCATACATAACATAGGGTGCATTTTTCAAGTAAATTAAGTGTTAATTTTATTCTATTTATTATTAAATAATAAAATATCTAAAATAAAAATAAACCAGTCAATATTTTCTACACATAATACAATATTTTACATAATTAAAACAATACATTTAAAAATGTAATATTTGCTAAAAAAATCTGAACTGAAATTATATTCATTATATTTTAAAACTAACATTTTAAATTCACAATTCTAAATATAATATTATTTAATAGTAAAATATTTATCAATCAAAATAATATGAAATCATTTGCATTAGTCATAATAATTTCTGTTAATTAGATAAACATTATTAGACTACATTATAATTTCACCCAGTTGTCCTGTGTTTTTGTCGGACTATGCCACTTTCTCACCAGTTATTCAGTGATGCTTGTCGGGAGTTCAGAACCTTAGACTGACTCCTCTGTGAACTCTCCTGGTCTTTCAATCCTTTTTTTGATTCATTCAGGGCGGGGTTAAACATGTTTGAGCCAAACAAGCGTCCAATCTCCATCCGAATGCCCTTTAGGCCCCGCCTCTCAAAGGTCACCCATGCAGCATAGCTGTAAAAGCTGAGAAGACACTGAGGCAGAGGAAACACACTAATGCCATTATGGGAAAGATATATGAACTGAGGTTAATATTGAAATACATGATATTCAAAGATCTCTATTTAACTTTTGCATCTTCATGAATCACATATGGTATCAGTGCACAAACCTCATTTAGTTGCATGTCACGGTCAATGGACGCATTTAAGGACATCCTGATTCTGTTGAAATAAATCGGGCATGCTCTCATCCATCACATTGGTCATTAAAGGGATAGTTCACCCAAAAATGAAAATTTGCTGTTAGTTTACTCACCCTCAGGTCAAAGCTGTAGGTGACTTTTTTTTTCTTGAGTCAAACATTAAAGAAGATTTTAGCTAAAACTGTGGTGATTCATACAATGCAAGTCTTATTAAAAAGCATATCAAGGAACGCAAAATTAATACCCGTGGCTCTTGGCGATATATTGAGGCCTAATGAAGTGAAACGATCATTGTGTGCAAGAAACTGAACATTATTTTATTACCTGTAATCCAGAGCCTCAGGCAAACGGTCCGGAGTGATGTCTGGTTCACGAACGAATCATTCTTTTGAACCTAGTTGAACCAGTTCACCAAATCACACTCACTCAAAACTGAAATGAGCCAAAATACCTGTGTATCTGATCCTATGATAAATGAACTCATTCAGTGCTCCAGTTCCTCCAACAGTTACTGAACTGAGGAAAGAAGACCGATGAGCATGTGTGAACCCAACACTTGAATGAAGGGGCCAAACGACCGTTTTTATGGTTTCTCTTTGTTTATGTAAAAAGGTGAGCTGCTGAAGACTAGTTTATTCACTTTATATGCTTTAAGGCCTTTCCACACTGAGCGCGAAAAAGCGAAACGAATATCGGACGCGATGACGCGCTGGAATAAAACAATAGATTTCTATGGATGCTTCCACATAGACCGCGAACATTCGCGCACCGAAAATGCGAATTTTCTTTTTTTTTCGAACCAGTCCGACGAATCTTTTCAGTTTCACAAAGTGAAATCACGGGCCGTCCAGTAAGATTTTAGCTAGGATCACGTGACCGAAACAGCTGCTGTTGCACAAAAGGGTGAGAGTGGTGGCGCGTTTTCGAAAACCAGTGTAAACAAACATCGAAGAAGAGTATCCCAGATAAGAGTAGAGAGTATTGAGCAGCGGACGATGTTAAATCCATTTACGAGATAAATATCTGAGGAAAAATGCATTGCTGGTCGGTGCCACCTAGCGTGCAGGCGTGAATTAGCAGAAGGCGAACAATCGTTTTGCGTTCGGCGTGAAAGCACCATTCGTCGGCGATTCACCTCGCTTTTTCGCATCACGCTCAGTGTGGAAAGACCTTTAGACATGTAAAACCTCCATGTTTCACATCCATGATTTCACATCATTTTTGGGTGCTTTAATTGAACCAGTTCATTGAAACAAGCCTTTCCGAAATAACCAGTTTGCGGAAAAGAATGGAATTTCCCTGTTCCCCGAGGCTCTGGATTACAGGTAATAATGTTGTAAATAATCTTCAGCTTCTTGCACAGACCGATTGTTTCACTTCATAAGACCTCAATATATCATCAGGAGCCACGGGTATTAATTTTGTGTTCCTTGATATGCTTTTCTTATTCAAAAACTGTGCAACCAATAGCTTGCACTTTATGAATCACCAAGAACCACAGTTTCAGCTCAAAATCTTCTGTTCTACTGAAGATAGAAGTCACCTACATCTTGGATGGCCTGAGGGTAAATAAAAAACAGCACATTTTGGGGTGAAATATTTATTTTAAGACAGCAAAAATGCACATACTTTATATGGCAGATATGCTATCAGCCACTGTTCAGACCTGTCAGAAATTTGGTGCTGATGAGGCAGCAGCTTCAGCTGCAGCCTGAAGTAACAGACGGCAAGCTGCCTTTGTGCCAGCTCCAGCTTAGCAGTCATCTGCGTCTCAGAGTCACTGAGTAATGACGGCCCGCTGGTAAAGCAAACGTCACAGATGAATGAGATTAAAAAGACCTGTGATAGGTTGCTGAATAGGTTTCAGTAATTAAGCACTGTTCCTTTAATAATCTCATGCTTTTTCATATGGCTTCAAACCCAGCTCCAAATTCAAACTCACGCTATGACAAACGTTGGTTTTTCCTCCAGAGCTTTCTTCTCAAAGTAGCAAGAAAAGTAGAGCAGGAGATTGGCAAGAAGCTCATCCAGCTCTTTGCTCCTGTGAATATTTTGGACAAAAATACTTGGAATCAAGTATATGAGCTGCACTAATATAACTACAACTAAAGGAGTAAAAAAAAAAAGAAGTAAAAAATGATGTATATGTATAAAAATGTAAAAGCCATCCTCAAACAGTACTAAAACAAAATACACAGTAAAATAAAACTCACTTTAGCAGGGACAGAAAACGTGGAGGAATGGGAAACCTGTCGTTCTTGTGTAGCAAACAGACTGCTGCCACTGTAACACATTAAACGTATATTAAATCATCCTAGTTATGGGGAAAATACCATTTTTCATGGCTCATATTGTTTTCATTATGTAGCAAAGTGCATGGACCTACATTTAACATTCTGAATTGTGACGCATTCCATTTGTGAGCGTTTTATTGAGGTCTTGAAGGCATCCAGTTGAGCGGGACGCACCGTATTCCTTTGAAAAAGGAAACTGAGTAAATCAATTGCTCGGAATAACACATCCTGCATAATGACCACCGTGAACAAGACAGAGTACGTTTGCCACTTCTCCAGAGGCTTTCTGGACTGCCCTTGGGATTTAGATGTATTTGTTTTTTTCTTCTCTTTCACCTCTTCTTTGGCTTCGAAACTGCAAACAAAAGAAAACTGAACTACTGATTTTGCTTGTGCAAAAAAAAACACACCAAACACTGACAGATTGTTAAAAACATCATAGTAAAATAGCAGTTAATAAGACATAGCACCATCGTCAGTTTTTACCGTATGAACTCCAGGGTTTTTGTCTCATCGTTCCAGTCCCACCGTCCAGAGGAAGGCATTGTTATCTGTTATGCAATAATTAGTGGGAAACAGGTAAAGCCTTCATTTTCTCTCTTGACCATATTAATGAATATGCTCTTCTTAAAGTTAGCTGATCATTTATTCTTCTTCTTTTTTTTAACAATAATAAAAATAATTATTTACTTTAAAAAGGTGATTTGTTTTCAGTGCACCCTCTCTTCATCTCTTTGACTGGGATTTGTCTGTCATTATTACTCTGTCACAAATATTCAACTAAATTTTCATAATATATAACTTTACATAATTATTTGGTTCTGTATTTTACACTAATGAGACCATATAAAAGTAAACAGCTAAACAAACAAATACATCTATTCATACATACTGTACATATCTTGCTAAAACTAAATTAGCAAATAATTACATTTGCCCTGATAATATATTAAATGATGTACCATCGTCATGTACATGCTAAACTCATAACTAAATGTTACAAATTATCCATAAGCGCACATCTCCGTGATTCTTCCTCAACAAATAAGTTAAACAAATCACAAAACAAACAGTAGCGTGCAAATGGCTGCTTATTCTAAAACACGCTCGGTGTGTTCATATTCATATCGCTGAAATGGTTTACTAGAACAGTCTTGAACACATAAGCATGAATTCCTACCGGTTCAGCAGGCGATTTTGCCATAACTCACTCAAAATAGATTCACCGTAAACTTGTACCGTAAACTCCGGAACTGGAGGCATCCACGGTATCCTAGCGACAGCCGGTGACTGACGGCAGACTGTGCTACGTGTGACGTTCCTGTGGCAAGCCACGCCCACCACGCACAAATACTTCTTGTGATGAACCCGATGTGTTTGCGAAGCTGTCCCCAAACTGGAAAATGTAGGTAACATATCTGAAATCTTATCAAATATTTACAGTGACTGATGCAGATTCGTTTTAAAACGAATGTGACATCAAGATATTTGTTTTAAAGTGACATCAAGATATTTTTTTCTTGTAATAATAAAATTAATTTGCTACTCTATACTCGGGTCTTTCCATAAGATGATTATAGGACCATAATGATTTGTCACCTTGTATTTATATCCAAGTGAAACAGAAAATCATGTTTTTCCACTTGTTTTCTTTTCACAATATGAACAGAAATATAGGCTACTTCAGTTTTTTTACTCTCATCGTTTTTTACTACTTTTTTACTACTTTTTCTTTTTTATATCAATATGGTAAGTTTAAAACAAGTTTGATAAAAAAAGTAATCCAAAAGTAATCTAAAAAGAAGTCAGAATACATTACCTAAAATGAGTAACCTAGATTACATTACTAACTACAAGTTTCGGAAACACTTAATTTTGATAGTCCACTTTAGACATTCTACTACCTATAAACACATTTGACACTTTATTTTGATGGTTGCTCAACAGACGTTCTACTGACTATGAGTAACTTTGCGAGTACGGCAAATACATAAGCAAGACCAGCTCAGGTGACAAGAAGTAACACAAAAGTAACATAATGCATCAATTTCCATCAAAAGTAGCTAATGCAATTATTTACTCTTTAATGGAGTAACACAGTATTGTAATGCATTACATTTAAAAGCAACTTTCCCCAGCACTGTTAATAAATGTGGCTTTTATACAGCTATCTGCAATCCTCGATTGGGATTGTCAGTAGCACCATTTTCTTTCTTACCACTTTCTGCTTATCTTTCTGTGGGACCAAAATTCTCCAACGAACACTGTTTATGTTAAACTGTTGCTGTTAGCTCAGTATTATGCATGTACCATGACATTTTTCTGCATAAGTAATAACAGATTAGCTTGTTATAAATATAATTATAGTTTTTTTTTGTTTTTTTTTTTCTTAGTTTTCACGAGCACTGGGATTTTAGTATTCAGCACGTCAAACTTTATAAAGAAACATTAAAACTAAAAGAAAAACAAAACTTAAAGATTAGTTTCACAGACCGTCCCAAACATATATTATCACTGGCCTTTAGTGCACATACCTCTAACATATATGTGGATCTCTGAGTACAAGTCTTTTTGATTCTTGTAACTGCAACGGTATGTTCCTGTGTACTCTGTAGTGGGCTTTTGGACACTGAGGGTCTTTCGTGAGACGTGTTTCTGGTGTTTCCTGAGCCTTGTCTTCCATATGTTATCCGCTTGTCCCTCGCAGCTCAGAATGAAGGGTTTGTAAGCTGACCAGACCACCTCAGATCGACTCAGCGGAGAGGAGTTCAGCTTTATCACTGGTGCGGGAAACTCTGCTCAGACACACAGAAGAGCAGAGAAACTCAAGAAAAGTTAAAAAGTGCGTATAGGTATATGCTGTGCATAGATAAACAATGAAACGGGTTGACTCATTAATTCAATGATTCTTGATGCCAAACAAAGGTGTCATCAGTAGCTTGTTTATTGACATTTCTTCATGCAACAGGTTAGATGAACCATAACATAAATCATTCCAGAAAGCAGGACTTTCAAGTGTGATGTTATATACGAGAGAGTAACACAAAACATCAACTTCATTTCATTTATTGAATACGATTTCAGATTTAATGTAGCTATAGGTTATTATGATTCTTTCTTTTTTTAACTATTATTGAGTGCCTTTTTGTTAGTGCAAGTATAATATGCCATCAAAATGCTTTATCTGGTCGTTTTGCCCATGCATTTATTTGCTCTGTCTCTTAGCCGAATCCTGCAGAGTGGTAGCAATGCGAGACACTTGCAGCAGCAATGCCTGGTGGTTCTCCACGAGGAGGCTCTGAAGGCGAGCCATGCTCTGGAGGTGGAGCAGCTGCTGCACGCCTTGGTCGCTCGTGGCCCGCAGGACCTTCAGCATCTCAGCCTGAACGCTGGCCACCTCCTTGTTTTCTTGCACCAGCTGATTTAGGATCTTCACCATTTCGCCATACCAGCCCCTGCTCTCCTGCTTTTCCTGGATTAGCTGGGCGAGTGAATGCTTTAGCTCATCCAGTCCGCAGCATGGTGAAGACGGTGACACCTCATGGGGATTCTTGCTGGTGTCAGGGGCTGAGTTCTTATCCAAATGACTCATTGTCATATCATATGGGCTGTTAAGGTCTTCATTTGCTAAAGGGAGCACACATATGGCAGGCTTCAAAATTTCCCCTCAAACAAGTTATATTAATGATGTCAGGGTTCCTCAAAACCAACCCTGGATAGCCACTGCCGCCTGAGTTTAACTCCAGTCCTATAATCAAAGACACCTGAGGAACATAATCAGAGTTACAGGAATGAGTAGGTAAGTTTGAGAATGGTTTGAGCTAAACTCTGAAAGCAGTGGCCCTTCAGGACTGGATTTGAGGAGCCATGCTGTATGTGAATTAAATTTATGAAATGATATGGTAGTTGACATGAAATACTTTTGGGAACGCATTTTTGTTCGGTGGCGTGACACTCCAACTCAAACTATTCTGGGGTGCGTTTCCCAAAAGCATCGTTAGCTAACTATGGTCATTAGTTAAATTGAACTCTATTGGTAACGACGGAACGTGCGACCATATTTCTTTTGGGAAACGCACCCCTGAACAGCATTATGCATGGAGTTTTTATGACCTCATATTTAAGAAGCAGTTCAACCAAAATGGCCATCCAAGATATCAATGAGTTTGTTTCTTCATGAGGACAGATTTGGAGAAATGTAGCATTTCATCACTTGCTCACCAATGGATGCTCTGCAGTGAATGGGTGCCGTCAGAATAAGAGTCCAAACAGCTGATAAAAACATCACAATAATTTACAAGTAATCCACACCACTCCAGTCCTTTTGTGCTTGTAAGGAACAAATCCATCATAAAGACGTTGAAACTTTAAACCGCTGCTTCCTGGCCAAATTACATAATCCATAAAAATGCTTGAAAATGTCCATCCCCTGTTGTCTCTCAACTCAAAATCCACCCACATGTTTGTTTAGAGCTTTTGTCTCGTAAACGGTGCTTGATCTGTATATTTATCTCCTGATTCAAACCAGATCACTTTTTCACTAGAGAAAGTGATATTATGGATTATGGACTTCTAATTTTGGCCAGAAGCAATGGTTTGAAGTTAAAAATGTCTTGATGTATTTGTTTGTTTTTTTACAAACACACAGTTTTTTGCTTCACAAGACGTTCACTGATGGACTGGAGTGGTGTGGATTACTTGTGGATTATTGTGATGTTTTTATCAGCTGTTTGGACTCTCATTCTGACGGCACCCATTCACTGCAGAGCATCCATTGCTGAGCAAGTGATGTAATGCAATTTAAAAAAAAAATGTTTTCTCTAAATCTGATGAAGAAACAAACTCATCTACTGTACATTTTAGATTGTCTGAGAATGGGTACATTTTAAGTAAGTCCTTTAACTGAGAGACTACATAGAATGTGTGTGCCTTTACATATTTACACTGCTGGACCATTTAAATAATCCAGTGATGACAATGGTTAAAATAATGCAAAATAAATACTGACCAAGTTCTACACTGCAAAAAAAACAAATA